CCCCTCAGTCCCGGGCTACCAGAATTAAGGCACCTTAACGTTACCGGATAAGGGAAACTAGTGGGATCTGATCTAAGAAGAAGAGAACCAGGGCAGGCTGGTGTTAAGACTAAGGGGATCCCTTAAGGACTACCGATTTGGGTTTGTGTCGCAAATGGCACCTTATTCTCCAGAGCCCTGGTCAAAAGTAGTGCACTACACAGGGAATAGAGTGCTATTTGGGATGCGACAGTGGCCACAGTATGGAAAGTGTGAACTCAATGTTCTATTCTGAGACTGTATCTCGTTCCTGGCTCACTCAGGAGAGCTCACCAAGGAGTGCGTAGCAGCTTATCTTCTCTCACCCTGTCAGGCTGTGGGCCGTGCACATCAACGCTAGCGGTTGCTATAGATTATGGTAACTATGACTTTGATAGAACGTTGGGTTCTTTGAGAATTTATCCATTTGGTTTTTGAACTTTTGTAACTGACCGTTTCCTTCCTCAGAGGAGCATTTTGAATGTTTGCCATGTCCCTTCTGTGTTGTCGGTCTTCTTTGAACTCTTAACATGGTCTTTCTTTTTGTTCAACATAATAAGGTGCAGAAAGTGTATTTACGATAGCAAGAAAATCCAACTCGGCTAGCAATTCCAAACTACCGATTTCAAATAAGAACACCAAACAATCAGATCATCAAAAGAAACAATACACCACAGTTCAATATGTGTATTTGTGTTTCCTTATATATTTGTTGTTGTTTTTTGTTTTGTTTTTACAGAAAAGGGGGTTACATTTGGTGCAATTGGACTAGATGAAACAATGAATAATTATGTTCATTTCATGACAAAGAGATATAATGGCGCCTGTTGAATCATACTGTCTGTTTATACAAACTACAAATTCCTTTTCACTTTTGAAATAAATATATGTACAGCATATATTATCATAAACATTATCAGAGTATGACCTGTGGTTATTTAGTTTTAGCTTGCTGCTCTTGCCTTGAATGTTTAGGGGTACCCCCATATGGTTTGGGGTACCCCCATATGTTTAGTGGTACCCCATATGGTTTGGGGTACCCCCATATGTTTAGTGGTACCCCCATATGGTTTGGGGTACCCCCATACTGTATACGACTGTATTATCTCCCCACATGCTTCTCCTTTGTACTTTAAGCCAAAGAGGGAATACTATGGGTGCAAATAATTTTACACTAGACATTTTTCAATAAGGGCTAACACCAACTGGCGCACTATGGCTCTGACACATACATAACCTATCTCCGTCACTGTGTGCATCCCATATGGAATCTTATTCCCTATATAGTGCATTAGAGTTTGGGCAATAGAACCCTGTTCCCTACAGTGTACAGTGCACTGTGTTATGGAACAGGATGCCATTTGGTCTCCATCATGCCAGGTACCATATATGAGTCAGAGGTGTTATAAGGGAATAAAAAGGCAAAGAAGAAAAATAGGATGGAAATGTTGAGCAGAAAAGGTACCAAAAGGTTGAAATCAGTGAGAGAGATGCAACATGCTCAGTTTGCTGAGGAAGGAGAGTAGAGCAGTGAGAATAGGAGTTCTACAGATCCCTTCTTTGCTGAATGTGAACACAAATGTCTTGAAAAGCAGTTCTAGATATCGATGAACGGAGTTCTTCCAAAACATAACCGCCAGAGTAAATGTACCAACTCATTTCTCAATGACAGAAAACATTTAGACATGTATCTCTTTGTTTTAGATGTGGGAAAAAATTAAATAACTAGATTTGACCTTAGCTAGATTTGACCTCAGCTAGATTTGACCTTAGCTGAAAAGTTTTACAAATAACCTCCAATGATGATTGTGAGAGTAACCTGCTGGGTATATAAGACTAACCAATGAGCCTAAAATGACCATAACCCTGTGTGGGGGTTTTGAGGGAACATTATATTTGTTTGTGTGATGATGTTGTTCAAAAAGAGAAGAACTGATTGATCAAAACATAAAAAAATCAACAAGAAAAAAACAACGCAAAATATGATAACATTTTTCAATAACATTTCAATAATTTTTCAAAAAAGAAATTAGCGCTTCCTACTTATCCATAATCCACAACATTTTTACATTTTAGTAATTTAGCAGACGCTCTTATCCAGAGCGACTTACAGTTAGTGAGTGCATACATTTTCATACTGCCCCCCCCCCGTGGGAAACGAACCCACAACCCTGGCGTTGCAAGCGCCATGCTCTACCAACTGAGCTACAGTAATGAGATCGTAGTCACATTCACCTCTCAGCTCAGCAGACAGACAGATAGACAGACAGACAGACTGACAGACTCACACATCCATTGTGAGGGGGGCGTTGATTAGCTAAGATGGAAGGCTAAAGCTCAAGTTTAGCTGTCCTGTCATTAGCCACAGGTCCACAGTTCCCCAATCCCCGACTGAAGATTCCCACAGTTCCTCTTCTTTATCCCTTATGTCATCGTATAGAATGTATACTTATCATATAGAATGTCTGCTTATCATACATAGAATGTCTCCTCATCATATCAAAAATCTGCTTTTCATATAGAATGACTCCTCATCGTATAGAATGTCTCCTCAACATATAGAATATCTGCTTTTCATATAGAATTACTCCTCATCATATAGAATCTCTCCTCATCATATAGAATGTCTCCTCGTCGTATAGAATGTCTGCTCTTCATATAGAATTTCACCTTGTCATATAGAATGTCTGCCCTTCATATATAATATCTCCTTGTCATTTATAATGTCTCCTCATTGTATAGAATGTCTGCTCGTCACATAGAATGTCTCCTTGTCATATAGAACATCTCCTCAAAGTATAGAATGTCTGCTCTTCATATAGAATGACTCCTCATCATATAGAATGTCTGCTCGTCATATAGAATGTCTCCTTGTCATATAGAATGTCTCCTCATCATATAGAATGTCTCATTGTCATAGAATGGCTCCTCATCGTATAGAATGTCTGCTTGTCATATAGAATGACTCCTTGTCATTTAGAATGACTCCTCATCATATAGAATATCTCCTCATTGTATAGAATGTCTGCTCGTCATATAGAATGACTCCTCATCATATAGAATATCTCCTCATTGTATAGAATGTCTGCTCGTCATATAGAATGACTCCTCATCATATAGAATATCTCCTCATTGTATAGAATGTCTGCTCGTCATATAGGATGACTCCTTGTCATTTAGAATGTCTCCTGATCATATAGAATGTCTCCTTGTCATGTAGAATGTGTTCTCAACATATAGAATGTCTGCTATTCATATAGACTGTCTGCTCATCCTATAGAATGGCTGCTCGTCATATAGAATGTCTCCTTGTCATTTAGAATGTCTCCTCATCATATAGAATGCCTCCTTGTTATATACAATACCTCCTTGTCCTATAGAATGTCTCCTTGTCATATAGGTTGCATTCGTAAATTCGCTCTGGCTATCTACTCCAATTTCAGAGCACTCTCGTCTGAGTGTGCCAGAGCGCAGAATAACTGAGGAATTTGCGAAACGCTCAAAACCCGTTGAATATGGCCGGTGTCAGTAAACTTTGGCAAAAAAACTTAATTAAATTGTTGCAAGCAGCACCGTTACAGTCACCAACGCTCTGGATAACATGAAAACAGCCTAACCAGCTCTGCTAGGTTGAGTAAAATGGTCAGAGTGAGCTGTTCTTTCATTTGTGTCTGGAAGTAGCTAGCAAGCTAGCCAGTTAGCTTGGGTACTTGACTTCTGTTGTTAGGTCAGAACGCTCGGATCAACCCTACTCCTCGGCCAGAGCGTCCAGTGTGCGCTCTGAATGCTCCGAGAGCGAAACGCTCTGAATTTACGAATGGACAATCTGACAAAGCTCTGAATTTATGAACTCTCAGAGCGCACTCCAGATTGAATTTACGAACACACCCATTGAATGTGTCCTCAACGTATAGAATGTCTCCTCATCATATAAAATATCTCGTCATCATATAGAATGACTCCTTGTCAAATAGAATGTCTCCTCATCGTTTAGAATGTCTGCTCTTCATATAGAATGGCTCATCATCATATAGAATGTCTTCTTGTCATATAGAATGTCTCCTCATTGTATAGAATGTATGCTCTTCATATATAATGGCTCATCATCATATAGAATGTCTCCTTGTCATATAGAATGTCTCCTCATTGTATAGAATGTATGCTCTTCATATAGAATGGCTCATCATCATATAGAATGTCTTCTTATCATATAGAATGTCTGCTTGTCATATAGAATATGTCCTCTACGTATAGAATGTCTCCTCATCATATAAAATGACTCCTCTTCATATAGAATATCTCCTTGTCATATAGAATGGCTCATCATCATATAGAATGTCTGCTCTTCGTGTAGAATATCTCCTTGTCATATAGAATGTCTCATTGTCACATGGAATGTCTCCTCATCATATATAATATCTCCTTGTCATGTATAATGTCTCCTTATCATATAAAATGCCTCCTCATCATTTAGAATGTCTCCTCATCAAATATAATGTTTTCTTGTCATATAGAATGTGTCCTCAACGTATAGATTCTCTTCTCATCATATAAAATGCCTGCTCGTCATATGAAATGTCTCCCAGCACATCCCTCTGCTGGTGTATAACAACTCTGATAAATATATACACACACATGCACAATCATAGTGGGTTGTAATATAAATAATGTAGAAAATCATCGTTCTTTTTGGATCCTCTGTCCTGCATCCTGCATCTGGTGCAGTTAGTCAGTCAGTCCCTTCCTCTCGCCCTCTCTCTCGCCTGTAGCTATAATCCTGGCTGCATTCTGATTGTCTACCCTTTTTCCAAAGTATGCACTTTTCCCACTCCTTGTCATGGTGTTAAAAGCATTGGATTGGTGTCACCATTGGCTTGAGGGAGTTGTTAGATCCATGACGGAGAGTGTGCATTTCAGGAGAAGTGTGGAGAATCGGGACGCAGCCGGTAGCTGTGGTGCTGTTGGCTGGCTCCCTCTATACGTTAGTCTCCAGGCCGTTCATGTCGATGGAGCAGTGGTCCTTGTCCTTGTAGTCCCTCTTGGGTTGGGGCGCGTGGGGGTTCCTCTTCCTCTGCTCCGGCCGAACCCCCTCCTCCAGCTGCACCAGACGGGCCACGTCTGGGCTCCCGGGGACCCCCGGGCCGCAGGGAGGCTGGTACCCACCGTTCTTCTGGTACGTCATCATCTGCTGGATGCTGATCATGGGCTTGGTCTCGCAGATCAGAGGCACCTGCAGGAGGGTAGAAGAAGGAACCAATACCTGAATATGTGCCAAAGCAACGTATTCCCTATGCAAAACAAATAGATGGCCTTGGATCTGACTATTGGATCAAAATAGTTTTTCTGCGTCCAGAGAAACGATCATATCAGAGGCACCTGAGGGCCACAATGGAGAATAGGAAACCCAAAATGAAAAGGCCAGCGCTCACACGTGGATATAAGTTGCAATTGAAGCTTTGTTTTAATGTTCTTTAATCTCATAACAACATTTCTTAATAGACCATGTGTCTGTGCCTATGTTTGTGTTGCTTCACAGGTGTATTTATATCTGGTTTTTAAATTTTACTGCTTACAGCAGCTACTTGATGTGGAATAGAGTTCCATGTAGACATGGCTCTATGTAGTACTGTGCGCCTCCCATAGTCTGTTCTGGACTTGGAGACTGTGAAGAGACCTCTGGTGGCATATCTTGTGGGGTATGCATGGGTGTCCTCCCGAGTGGCACAGTGGTCTAAGGAACTGCAACGCAGTGCTAGCTGTGCCACTAGAGATCCTGGTTCGAATCCAGGCTCTGTCGTAGCCGGCCGCGACCGGGAGACCCATGGGGCGGCGCACAATTGGCCCAGTGTCGTCCAGGGTATGGGGAGGGAATGGCCGGCAGGGATGTAGCTCAATTGGTAGAGCATGGCGTTTGCAACGCCAGGGTTGTGGGTTCAATTCCCACGGGGGGCCAGTGTGAAAAATAAAAATATAATGTATGCACTCACTAACTGTAAGTCGCTCTGGATAAGAGCGTCTGCTAAATGACTAAAATGTAATTGTGTCCGAGCTGTGCACCAGCAGCTCAAACAGACAGCTCAGTGCTTTCAACATGTCAATACCTCTCATAAATACAAGTAGTGATGAACTCAATCTCTCCTCCACTTTGAGCCACTTAATGTTTGCTCTCTGTGTACATCCAAGGGCCAGCCATGCTGCCCTGTTCTGAGCCAATTGCAATTTTCCTAAGTCCCTCTTTGTGGCACCTGACCACACGACTGAACAGTAGTCCAGGTGCGACAAAACTAGTAGGACCTGCCTTGTTGATAGTGTTGTTAAGAAGGTAGAGCAGCGCATAATTATGGACATACTTCTCCCCATCTTAGCTCCTGTTGTATCAATATGTTTTGACCATGACAGTTTACAATCCAGGGTTACTCCAAACAGCTTAGTCACATCAACTTGCTCAATTTCCACATTATTTATTACAATATTTAGTTGAGGTTTAGGGTTTAGTGAATGATTTGTCCCAAATACAATGCTTTTAGTTATAGAAATATTCCTTGCCACACACTCTGAAACAAACTGCAGCTCTTTGTTAAGTGTTGCAGTCATTTCAGTCGCTGTAGTAGCTGACGTGTATAGTGTTGAGTCATCCGCATACATAGACACACTGGCTTTACTCAAAGCCATGTCATTAGTAAAGATTGAAAAAAGTAAGGGGCCTAGACAGCTGCCCTGGGGAATTCCTGATTCTACCTGGATTATGTTGGAGAGGCTTCCATTATAGAACACCCTCTGTGTTCTGTTAGACAGGTAACTCTTTATCCACAATATAGCAGGGGGTGTAAAGCCATAATGTTTTTCCAGCAGCAGACTATGATCGATAATGTCAAAAGCCGCACTGAATTCTAACAAAACAGCCCGTTGAGCTATTTGTTGTTTGTATCCACTCCGGGCTTGTCGTTGGGAGTGTAGACTGCTTTGCGGGAGGCTCTTCGGCTTCCACGGCTCGTGACATGCGACCATCATTAATTGCCTTGCTGCTCATGCTGTGCTCCTTCGACTCCGCTATCAGATGGGGGAGCGCCTGGCAACACCGGCCAGTCGGATAACGACAAACGACAAGGCGAAGATGCGTCCAACAAGCGCGAATGCCGTCCAGCCACCGGCGTATAAAATGTTAACATTCCACTCTGCATTTTCCCCAGTTTCTTACGTAGGCTGGCGACCTGCGTGATCAAGGAAGCCACCTCAAGCCTATAATCCTCGGCAAGCAAACAATTGCCGCATTGGAACTCTGAGTGATCCGGTTTGTCCCGAAACAAAGCGTAGTAGATACACATCCTACAGCGCTGGAACGGTTAATTTATTTCTCCAGGCGAAGAGGGCTCCATTGCAAAACTCATCTGGTACCAACTTCGTTAGCTTGATGGCTAGCAGCTTAGCGTCTCTGTCAAGCACGCTTCAACCTGTCTGTTAAGCGGGATTCTGGAAAAAAGCGCCTAGCGTAAACAACCGCGTCGCGAAACCAACAAAACACAAGCAGTCGATAGATGCGGTTCAAAAAAATGACAAACGCGAAGTGGTCCAGCAACCGAGCGTAAAAATTAATGCCATCCACTACGCATTCCCAGGTTTTTTGCGTAAGGCAATGGGAAATCCTCGGATTAGAGGAGATGCATCAACCTATAATCTCGGCAAGCTAAAATTGGCGATTGTCAAACTCTGAATGACCGGTTGTGTCCGAACAAGGTGTGATAACATGCACAGCGATGACGTTATTTCATTTCTCAGAGCGAAGAGGCCATTGCAAAACTCACTGGTACCAACTTCGTATAACTTGAGAGTAGAGTTGACGTCTCTGTAAGAAGCTTCAACTTCTGTTAACGGAGATCTGGTACAAAATAGAGGTACCTACTGTTATTAACAGCAACGGTCGCGAAATCCACAAAAAAGTTTCAGTATTCGTAATTTAAGAATCAGTAGATGTTTTGTTTTAATAAAAAATGACAAACCGAGTGTTTCCAGCATACTATGCTAAACAAATAGATAGCCCAGGATCCGACTACAGCATCAGAGGTTTGTTTTGCGTACAGAGAAATGAGGAAAATCATCAGGATTAGTTGAGTGAGATGGAGTGCAAATATAATTGAGAAGCTCATAAATATTAGAGTAAGATGGTCAAAACCTAATGAACTTTGTGTGATTGTTTTTGAATATAATGGGAACGATAGACTTTATTGTGCATTTAGCAGAGAGAGTGAACAATAGGAACCATATAGTATCTGTATTCAACAGAGAGATTGGGTGACAGAACTGCTAGTAAGAATTGTAATATCTGTATTCAACAGAGAGATTGGGTGACAGAACTGCTAGTAAGAATTGTAATATCTGTATTCAACAGAGAGATTGGGTGACAGAACTGCTAGTAAGAATTGTAATATCTGTATTCAACAGAGAGATTGGGTGACAGAACTGCTAGTAAGAATTGTAATATCTGTATTTAACAGAGAGATTGGGTGACAGAACTGCTAGTAAGAATTGTAATATCTGTATTCAACAGAGAGATTGGGTGACAGAACTGCTAGTAAGAATTGTAATATCTGTATTTAACAGAGAGATTGGGTGACAGAACTGCTAGTAAGAATTGTAATATCTGTATTCAACAGAGAGATTGGGTGACAGAACTGCTAGTAAGAATTGTAATATCTGTATTTAACAGAGAGATTGGGTGACAGAAACTGCTAGTAAGAATTGTAATATCTGTATTCAACAGAGAGATTGGGTGACAGAACTGCTAGTAAGAATTGTAATATCTGTATTTAACAGAGAGATTGGGTGACAGAACTGCTAGTAAGAATTGTAATATCTGTATTCAACAGAGAGATTGGGTGACAGAACTGCTAGTAAGAATTGTAATATCTGTATTCAACAGAGAGATTGGGTGACATAACTGCTAGTAAGAATTGTAATATCTGTATTTAACAGAGAGATTGGGTGACAGAACTGCTAGTAAGAATTGTAATATCTGTATTTAACAGAGAGATTGGGTGACAGAACTGCTAGTAAGAATTGTAATATCTGTATTCAACAGAGAGATTGGGTGACAGAACTGCTAGTAAGAATTGTAATATCTGTATTTAACAGAGAGATTGGGTGACAGAACTGCTAGTAAGAATTGTAATATCTATATTTAACAGAGAGATTGGTTGATAGGTGGCAAATAAATGTTTGGGTCTCTTCTCGGCTTTTGTATAAGTTTTCTACTGCGGTACGTACTACAAACAGTGTCACATTCTCCAAGGTTCTGCCCAGTTACCACTCCTCAGTCAATTCGCTGTACACAACGGAAATAAAACTCCCTTGAATGGAACGTTTCTAATGTTGAGGGACTTGAGAGTGTCTGGCAGGCATTGTGATGACATGTGAGCGTGTTTCTCTCACCTGCTCTCCTTCCTTGACAAAGTCTTTTCTACAGATGTGAGCCATGATCCCCGTGGCCAGGGCATCTCCCATCACGTTGACCATGGTCCTGAAACGGTCCCTGGAACACAAAATGGAAGTTCAGCTGCCTTGGTGGTGTTGGGAGGCTCTGTGGTGCGCTGGCTCTGGAGCTGCAGTCTACACTAGTAGTCTTGTGAGACACAACACTATACAATTACAGTAGCAATGTTTTTGTGGCATATTGACATCACTTTGTTATATATTTGAAAATCACCTTGTCATAATGTCTCAGTAAAACGTCAATAACATTTTACCCTGTAAAATATGACCTACTTTATTTTGGTTTAATCTTATCAACCCCATAACCTTTATTGCTATATGTATAAGCATTAATAAGACTAACCAAGGAGAATACAAACTATACTTACAACGCCCAATCCACAGCGATGATAAGAGTGATGTCATCAGTGGGCAGGCCCACCGAGGTTAACACGATCACCATGGTGACCAATCCGGCCTGCGGGATTCCAGCTGCACCAATACTGGCCGCCGTAGCTGTGATACTGGGAACGAAAGAGGAAATGGTATTAGTGACCTTGACTGGATTATTGCAGATCTGTACTGTGTCCAACACCTTTCAAATGATGCCTCAGTACAAATCAAATCAAATCATATTTTATAGGTCACGTACACATTTTTAGCAGATGTTATTGCGGGTGTAGCGAAATGCTTGTGTTTCTAGCTCCGAAAGTGCAGTAATATCTAACAAGTAATATCTAACAATTTCACAACATGTACCCAATACACACAAATCTAAGTAAAGCAATGGAATTAAGAATATATAAATATATGGATGATAACCCTCTAGTTGATTGTATTGTAGGCTATTGACCATGTTGCATCCCAAATGGCACCCTATTCCATATTTAGTTCACTACTGGGCTCTGGTCAAAAGTAGTGAACTGCATAGGGAATAGGGTGCTATTTGGGACACAGTCCATGAGGGACAGAAAAGAGAGAGCGAGAGAGTGAGTGAAGAAAGACAGTGAGGCTCTGAAATCATTGGTTTCTTGGTCTCCGCGTTTTGTTGCATCTGCTGTGCGGGTAAAAAACGGGTACCTACAAACCAGGGGTGTCAAACATTCGTCCAAGTTATGCCCATTACTCCTGTACCAAGAAACAACTATTCTACATCTTGATCCCTTGAAAGCTTCCAGTTCTTGTGTACATTGGACCATGTCTCCGTGGCACATCTCTCCATCCAGTATCCCCAGGCTCCTGAACCACGGACGAGCAATGACATAGTGAGACCTGTCTTTTTTTTCCCTAATAACATTTGTGCACACAAATGACACCTCGTCCAACGCATACATTCCCATACTGACAGTATTCCCCCAACACATGTAGTAAACAAAGTACGTATACAATACTATCCCCTCAGGACATGCATACGTCCCACATGGACAGTCTATGTCCTGCACTAGGACAGAGTAGACCTCACATAGCAGTACGTCCCCCAACGACAGTCAATGTACACGAGCAAGTACGTTCGAAATCTGGTCTAAGCAGTTACCAATACATACGTACATTCACCACTGTACCGTAATCACACCCCACTGTACACAGATCTCAACAATACAGTATATGTCCCCCCACACGTGACGAGTCGTCGCCCCACATGACAGTACACCCAAGTACCATCGCCAACATATCACTCCCCACAGTACGACATAGACATGTTTTCCCCCACATTGACAAGTACAGATTCCCACCAAGATACAGTACGTCCCTCCACATGGAAGTTAGTAGAGTGACATTCCCACAATCGGACCTTGACTACCCACAGCACTACGACAGTACACAGTACAGGACACAGTACGTCCCCCCACATCGACCAGTAGATCCCCACCACACGGACACAGTATTCCCCCCACATGGACAGTACGTCCCCCACACGGACAGTTACTCCCCCCACACGGACCACAGTACGTCCCCCCCATACGGACAAGTACGTCCCCCCACAGGACAAGTACGTCCTCCCCACACGGACACAGTACTCCCCCCACACGAACATAGTTCCCCCCACATGGACACAGTACGTCCCCCACACATGGACAGTACGTCACCCCCACACGGACAAGTACATCCCCCCACACGGACACAGTACGTCCCCCCACACGGACAGTAGTCCCCCACACGGACCAGTACGTCCCCCACACGGACGACAGTACGTCCCCCACACGGACACAGTACGTCCCCCCACAGGACACAGTACGTCCCCCCACGACAGACACACAGGACAGTACGTCCCCCCACGACAGAGGACCACAGGTACATCGTCCCCCACACGGACACAGTACGTCCCCCCACACGGACAGTAGTCCCCCACACGGACAGTACTCCCCCACACGGACAAGTACGTCCCCCCACACGGACACAGTACGTCCCCCCACACGGACACAGTACGTCCCCCCACACGGACACAGTACGTCCCCCCACACGGACACAGTACGTCCCCCACAGGACACAGTACGTCCCCCCACACGGAAGTACGTCCCCACAGGACAAGTACGTCCCCCCACACGGACAGTACGTCCCCCCACACGGACAGAGTCACACAGGACACAGTACGTCCCCCCACACGGACACAGTACGTCCCCCACACACGGACAGTACGTCCCCCACACGACACGTACTCCCCCACAGGACAGTACGTCCCCCACACGGTACACAGTACGTACGCCCACACGGACACATACACAGTACCCCCCACACGGACACAGTACGTCCCCCCACACGGACACAGTACGTCCCCCACACGACAGTACGTCCCCCCACAGACAGTACGTCCCCCCCACACGACAGTACGTCCCCCCACAGGACACAGTACTCCCCCCACACGGACACAGTACGTCCCCCACACGGACAAGTACTCCCCCAACGGACACACAGTACGTCCCCCACACGGACACAGTACGTCCCCCCACACGGACACAGTACGTCCCCCCACACGGACACAGTACGTCCCCCCCACACAGGACACAGTACGTCCCCACCACACGGACACAGTACGTCCCCCCACACGGACACAGTACGTCCCCCACACGGACACAGTACGTCCCCCCACACGGACACAGTACGTCCCCCCACACGGACAGAGTACGTCCCCCCACACGGACAGTACGTCCCCCCACACGGACACAGTACGTCCCCCCACACGACACAGTACAGTACACGAACAGTACGTCCCCCACACGGAACAGTACGTCCCCCCACACGGACCTACGAGGCACGTCCCCCCACACGGACACAGTACGTCCCCCCACACGGACAGTACGTCCCCCCACACGGAACAGTACGTCCCCCCACACGGACAAGTACGTCCCCCCACGGACAACACGACAGAGTACACGCACAGTACTCCCCCCACAGGACAAGTACGTCCCCCCACACGGACAGTACGTCCCCCCACATGGACAAGTACGTCCCCCCACACGGACACAGTACGTCCCCCACCCGCCCACACACGGACACAGTACGTCCCCCCACACGGACACAGTACAGTCCCACGTACGTCCCCACACGGACACAGTACGTCCCCCCACACGACACAACGTCCCCCACACGGACAAGTACGTCACCACTCCCCCACATGGACACAGTACGTCCCCCCACACGTGAACACAGTACGTCCCCCCACGGACACAGTACGTCCCCCCACACGGACACAGTACGTCCCCCACACGGACAGTACGTCCCCCCACACGGACACAGTACGTCCCCCCACACGACACAGTACGTCCCCCCAACGGACACACGTACCCCGTCCCCCCACGACACGTCCCACAGGACAAGTACGTCCCCCCACACGGACAAGTACGTCCCCCCACACGGACAGAGTACGTCCCCCCCACGGACACAGTACGTCCCCCCACACACGGACCACAGGACAGTACGTCCCCCACACGGACCAGTACGTCCCCCCACAGGACAAGTACGTCCCCCACACGGACAGTACGTCCCCCCACACGGACAGAGTACGTCCCCCCACACGGACACAGTACGTCCCCCCACACGGACAGAGTACGTCCCCCCACACGGACAGTACGTCCCCCCACACGGACAGTACGTCCCCCCACACGGACACAGTACGTCCCCCCACACGGACACAGTACGTCCCCCCACACGGACAAGTACGTCCCCCCACGACACAGTACGTCCCCCCACACGGACAAGTACGTCCCCCCACACGGACAGTACGTCCCCCACACGGACAAGTACGTCCCCCCACACGGACAGTACGTCCCCCCACACGGACAGTACGTCCACACGACAGCGTCCCCCACACGGACAAGTCGTCCCCCCACACGGACACAGTACGTCCCCCCACACGGACAAGTACGTCCCCCCACACGGACAAGAGTCCCCCACACGGACAAGTACGTCCCCCCACACGGACAAGTACGTCCCCCCACACGGACACAGTACGTCCCCCCACACGGACAAGTACGTCCCCCCACACGGACCAAACGTCCCCCCACACGGACAAGTACGTCCCCCACACGGACAGTACGTCCCCCCTGGACAGCGTAACTCCCCACACGGAACATTACGTCCCCCCACACGGACAGTACGTCCCCCCACACGGACAGAGTACGTCCCCCCACACGGACACCGTACGTCCCCCCACACGTACAGTACGTCCCCCCACACGGACAGCAGTAACGTCCCCCCACACGGACACAGTACGTCCCCCCACAGGCGGACACAGTACGTCCCCCCCCACACGGACACAGAGCTGCTTGACATTTGACATGGCTCGGTTTCTGTCTCTGAGAACACTCTGACACCAAACAGCCTGGATCCTGAATGGCACCCTGTTCCCTTTATAGTGCACTAATTCTGACCAGAATGCACTACTTTTGACCCTCTAAAGAGAACAGGATGCCATTTGGAACACACACTCTAACACAGTCTCTGGGGAAGGGGACATTACAGATGGACCATCGTTCCACTACAAACAGCCAAAGGTCACGGGAATAGAACAGGACGCTACAAAAGAATATAAAAACCCTCCTGATAATTCTGCCGTGACAAGAGAGCTGAGTTATACAGGTCATATGGGTCTTACTGCCAGGAGATTACTGCCTGCCTGGCCAAAGTCGGCCCGCGTCCCAAACGGTACCCTATTCCCCATAAAGTGCACTACTTTTGACCAAAGCCCTCTAGTGCACTATATGGGGAATAGGGTGCCGTTTGGAAAGCAGGAGTCTGTGACGAGTAGAGGAGGATAGGATAGGTCTGCTTAATGTTATTACAGTTTAACATGTCATTAAATCAGGGGAGAGCAAGGCCATTTTACACCATAGGTCTACGGGGGGATGACTGCCTGTCTGTCTGTCTCTGCTATGTAATAACCACTGATTTAAGGATTTAGTTTACAGGATAGATCATTGCAAAGTAAGCCGTAGTAGTCACATGTCACATTTACGTTTATCTACGTGCTTGATTCAGTATAATCTCATAATATTCATTAATTCATCCTCAAAACTGTAACACTAGATTAATTTCTGTGCTTCACAAACCGCAAAGCTACAGATGTGTTGCACCCATGGCGCTATTTTGGACAAAATAATTCCACAGGGAATATACATAACTGGATGATTTAGCAATCAATAATCAATATGATAATCCATGTGTTTTTCACCCCATTTCAATTCAGGTCCATTCCAGTAATTAGAGCTTCCAGTACAACCACTTCCGGGTTTCTGACCAGGAAGTCCACTCACTGGGCACAGAAGTCAGTTCAACGTCTAGTTTTGATTTACATTTGGTTGAGTTGTCAACTAACAAGAATTCAACGTGAAATCAACAGCAAATGTCACCATGTCATTGGATTTAGGTTAATAATTGATTGAATGAAATGAAATACCCTTAGTTGATTAATTTTTGAAAATCCAATCAGATTTCCACGTTGATTCAACGTCATCACATAGATTTTTGGGGGAAAACGTTGATTCAACCAGTTCTTGCCCAGTGGGCAGGCTGTTTGTTAATGCCACATGTTCTAATTATGACTTCTTTCTACGTGTTCAATAAGTCCGTTTGCATTTGTAATTGGGGTGCCCCATGTATCCCTTTTCATACTAAAGCCGGGGTTCAATCAAGTCGCGCTTGTAGATAATGCAGCTTTTAAAGGCAATGTTACCGCGTTAGTGGAGATCACATTCAAGTTAATGCTGCAGATGTCGGCTTAATTGGAAATAACCTTTAAATGTCAAGCGCGAACAAGGTTTTGGATTGAATCCCGGCATAAAACACTAAAACCCCTCTTTCAAGTAATTTGTTTACCTTCCCTTCTAAGGCTATATAGGCTGCATACCTTTACTATAAAGGCTATATAGGCTGCATACCTTTAATATAAAGGCTATATAGGCTGCATACCTTTAATAGAAAGACTATATAGGCTGCATACCTTTAATATAAAGGCTATATAGGCATCATACCTTTAATATAAAGGCTATATAGGCTGCATACCTTTAATATAAAGACTATGTAGGCTGCATACCTTTAATATAAAGGCTATATAGGCTGCATACCTTTAATATAAAGGCTATATAGGCTGCATAGCTATACTATAAAGTCTATGTAGGCTGCATACCTTTAATATAAAGGCTATATAGGCTGCATACCTATACTATAAAGACTATGTAGGCTAAATACCTTTAATATAAAGGCTATATAGGCTGCATACCTTTAATATAAACACTATATAGGCTGCATACCTTTAATATAAAGGCTATATAGGCATCATACCTTTAATATAAAGACTATATAGGCTGCATACCTATACTATAAAGACTATGTAGGCTGCATACCTTTAATATAAAGGCTATATAGGCTGCATACCTATACTATAAATACTATGTAGGCTGCATACCTTTACTATAAAGGCTATATAGGCTGCATACCTTTAATATAAAGACTATATAGGCTGCATACCTTTAATATAAAGGCTATATAGGCGTCATACCTGATAGTTATGATCTGGCCGAAGTCTAGCTCGTAGTTGTTAACCTGGGCGATGAAGATGGCTGCCACGGCCTCGTAGAGCGCTGTCCCATCCATGTTGATTGTGGCGCCCACGGGGAGCACGAAGCGGATGATGCGTCGGTCGATGTGGTTGTTCTCCAGGAGGCACTTGAAGGTGATAGGCAGCGTGGCAGAGCTGGGGAGTAAATTCAGTTTTAGTTTAGTATTTATATTATTACATTCAACGCTCTCAACTCTATTACCTCAGTAAGTAGTACACTTCAGAGCTGGATAGGGGCCAAACAGAGGACCGCCTTGTGACGCAGATCACGTGGGGGAAAAAAACTGTTCTTCAATTTCTATCAATGTCTTCCCTTGAAGCTAGAATCCTTAGTTGCTACATCCATTTTCTGACTTTTAAATTAGTGATACATAATCATTGATTCTAGAAGAATATAACTTAGAAATGCCTCATGAGCTTTAGTTCAACTGTCCTACCACATCAGAACCCAAAATATAAACTTGTTTTACTCCAATGTTTGTAAACAACGTAAATGTAAATAAACACTGTATAGCCTCAAAACATGGTTAAAACTATACATTTGATATCATGGATGGTCAGTCCTTGCATCCATAGTGCTGTCTGAATTTGAGAGCGGTTACATTTCTCCAGCCCATTCCTCAGCTTTTTATCGAAACAGGGGCGGGGAATACGCTTTGTTATTTTTTCAATTAAGGATTCTAGCTTTAATGTGTAATAATGACAAGCGAGACACAGTCAGTTGGAGGGGTAGTGATTCAAGATCATATTTTTTCATTTGAATTCAACCAAACTCAAGAGACAGACTCTTATTTATTATTTAAATGACAATGATTCATTCAAGAACAGAAAGATTCATTGAAAGACACATCATTCTCATTACATTCACACCACTCCTGCTGTCAATGTTTAATTATGGGTAGTCGAGGAACTAGAAGACTGACACAGAAACAGCACTTCTATCTCTTCTGTGGGAGGCTCTGTAAAGCACTGTAATAATAATAATAATAATAATGCCATTTAGCAGACGCTTTTATCCAAAGCGACTTACAGTCATGTGTGCATAAATTTTTAGGTATGGGTGGTCCCGTGGATCAAACCCACTACCCTGGCGTTACAAGCGCCATGCTCTACCAATTGAGGTACAGAGGACCACTGTGTGACAACTGCTGATGTAAAAAGGGTTTATAAAATATATTTCACTGATTAAGGACATCCTGACTGCAGATACTCCATAATTCTCAATTATGTCCTAACACGCGAGACAGAACCCGAGTCTACTCTGACACAGACCCGTCTGGCGAATCTAAACCTGTCTGTCCAACAGCCGGGGAGCTGAGGAGCAGAGACTAATGAAGAGATAATATCACTCAATGGGTGGTGTGCCATTACACACTATCAGAGTGAGACATTGGGTTGCGTCCCAAATGGCACCCTATTCCCTACATAGTGCACAACGTTTGACCAGAGCGGAGAGATGGAATAGGAAGGAAGGTGGAGGAGGAAGGATAGATGGAAGGAGAGGTGGAGGAGGAAGGAGAAGGTGGAAGAGGAAGGAGAGGTGGAAGAGGAAGGAGAGGTGGAAGAGGAAGGAGAGGTGGAGGAGGAAGGAAGGTGGAGGAAAGAGAGATGGAAGGAGAGGTGGAGGAGGAAGGAGAGGTGGAAGAGGAAGAAGAGGTGGAAGAGGAAGGAGAGGTGGAGGAAAGAGAGATGGAAGGAGAGGTGGAGGTGGAAGGAGAGGTGGAAGGAGAGGTGGAGGAGGAAGGAGAGGTGGAAAAGGAAGGAGAGGTGGAGGAGGAAGGAGAGGTGGAAGAGGAAGGAGAGGTGGAGGAAAGAGAGATGGAAGGAGAGGTGGAGGAGGAAGGAGAGGTGGAAGGAGAGGTGGAGGAGGAAGGATAGGTGGAAGAGGAAGGAGAGGTGGAGGGGGAAGGAGAGGTGGAAGAGGAAGGAAGGGGGAAGAGGAAGGAGAGGTAGAAGAGGAAGGAGAGGTGGAGGGGGAAGGAGAGGTGGAAGGAGAGATGGAGGAGGAAGGAGAGGTGGAAGAGGAAGGAGAGATGGAAGTGGTAGGAGAGGTGGAGGAGCAAGGAAGGTGGAGGAAGGAGAGATGGAAGGAGAGGTGGAGGAGGAAGGAGAGGTGGAAGAGGAAGGAGAGATGGATGAGGAAGGAGAGGTGGATGAGGAAGGAGAGGTGGAGGCGGAAGGAACGTGGAGGAAAGAGAGATGGAAGGAGAGGTGGAGGAGGAAGTAGAGGTGGAGGAGGAAGGAGAGGTGGAAGAGGAAGGAGAGATGGAAGAGGAAGGAGAGGTGAAGGAGGAAGGAGAGATGGAAGAGGAAGGAGAGGTGGAAGAGGAAGGGGAGGTGGAGGAGGATGGAGAGGTGGAAGGAGAGGTGGAAAAGGAAGGAGAGATGGAAGAGGAAGGATAGGTGGATGAGGACGGAGAGGAGGAGGAAGGAAGGAAGGTGGAGGAAAGAGAGATGGAAGGAGAGGTGGAGGAGGAAGAAGAGGTGGAAGAGGAAGGAGAGGTGGAAGAGGAAGGAGAGGTGGAAGAGGAAGGAGAGGTGGAGGAGGAAGGAAGGTGGAGGAAAGAGATATTGGAGGAGGAAGAAGAGGTGGAAGAGGAAGGAGAGGTGGGAGAGGAAGGAGAGGTGGAGGAGGAAGGAAGGTGGAGGAGGAAGGAGAGGTGGAGGACGAAGGACGAAGGAGAGATGGAAGGAGAGGTGGAGGACGAAGGACGAAGGAGAGATGGAAGGAGAGGTGGAAGAGGAAGGAGAGGTGGAAGAGGAAGGAGAGGAGGAAGGAGGAGAGGTGGAAGGATAGGTGGAAGAGGAAGGAGAGGTGGAAGAGGAAGGAGAGGAGGAAGGAGGAGAGGTGTGAGACGATGTATACGGCTGAGTGTAGATGTCTGTGGGTGAGAAGAATCATTTGGCACTGGATATTGTTTTGATCAAATCAAATCAAATTGTATTTGTCACATGAGCCGAATACAACAGGTGTACAGTAGACCTTACCGTGAATTGCTTACTTACAAGCCCTTAACCAACAATGCAGAATTTCTAAAACAGTAAGTAAGAAAGTATTTGCTAAAAATACATCCAAAATAATAATAAACTAAAGTAAGAAAAAAAGTAAGACAATAAAAGAACAATAAGGAGGCTGTATACATACAGGGGGTATTGATATCTAGGTTGCCAGGGAGATGAGCAGGGCCTGCAGGATAGGGTTAGGGTTAGGGTTAGAGGTAGGTTGTTGTTGTTGTTGTTTACCTGGAGGAAGTTGCCAGGGAGATGAGCAGGGCCTGCAGGATGCCCCTGATGTAGACGATGGGGCTCTTCTTGGTGATGAAGAAGTACATGGCAGGGAGGATGAAGAGACCATGGAGGATCAGCCCCATCACCACGGTGATAGCATAGAAACCCAGCTTCTTCCCCATGGCTGACGGGTCGTCCATCTCCAGGATCTTACCGGCCACCAGGAACACAATGCCGAACGGGAAGTACCTGGAATGGACCAGGAAGTTCGTTTTTATTTGTTGTTTTTTTTCATGGGAGACAGGTTTGTTCTTGGACTAGCCCAGGTGATTGACTGCAGTTGACAACATTGCTGAATATTGGTAGAATAGAATATGAGCTCTTTTGTTGACCCTCCCGCACACATGACTATCTCAGCATGTTGTCTAATACGATGTTATTGAGAGGACATGTCTTTGGGTTGCTCTTCCCATAAGCTACAACTCTTACCAGATCACTATGGCGACAATCTTCAGGACAGCCTCGTTTAAACTCTGACAGAAGTTGACCAGGGCGCTGCCGTTAGGCCCCATTCTACCCAGCATGATACCTAGACAACAACAACAACGTCAACAACATTGTTGTGTTAGACTGAGACAACATGGACACCATGGGCCAGACTGATTTGCTAAAGGTTTGTGTTTTTACTAAAGGGATTGATCAACAATGAAGAGAGAACAAAAGGGTCATTTAAAGGTTAATTATGTTAACTGTCACTCAGGCTGTGGCTGAAGGGCAGGGACAATGGTGATACTGTCAACCGTAATGATACTACAAGGTAGTGTGCCTTGGTGGGTTTGTATGTGTGTGTGTGTGTGTGTGTTGTGTGGTGTGTGTGTGTGTGTGTGTGTGAGGTGTGTGGTGTGTGGGTGTGTGTGGGTGTGTGTGTGTTGTGTTTGTGTGTGTGTTGTCTGTGTGTGTGTTGTGTGTGTTTGTGTCTGTGTGTGGGTTGTATGTTGTGTGTGTTGTTGGTTGTTGGTGTGTGTGTTGGTTTGTGGTGTGTCTGTTGTGTGTGTGTTGTTGTGTGTGGTGTGTGTTGTGGGTTGTGGTGTTGTGTGTGTTGGTTTGTGTGTGTGTGTGTGTGTGTGTGTGTGTTGTGTTGTTGTGTGTTTTTGTTGTATGTGTGTGTGTCTGTGTGTGTCCGTATGTGTCCGTATGTGTCGTCTGTGTGTGTGTGTGTCTGTGTGTGTATGTGTGTGTCTGTGTATGTCGTGTGTGTTGTGTTGTAGTGTGTATGTCTGTGTGTTGTGGTGTGTGTGTGTGTGTGTGTGTGTGTGTGTGGTGTGTGTGTGTGTGTGTGTGTGTGTGTGTATGTGTTCGTGGAACTGTCCCTCATCCATAATGACATCACACAGTGTCTGGGGAGTTAGGGTTAGAGGTCAGAGGTCAGTGGTGACGTTACTCACCCATGGTGGCGGAGAAGATGACGATCCCCAGGACATTCATGCCGTCGCTGGTCCCGGGCAGCGTGCGCATCTGGTATGTCGGGCGGTGGCGTCAGGTCCAGGGAGAAGTTCTGGATGTCTGTTCCGTTGTCGTCCTGGACGCCGTAGATATAGACCCTCCGGGTGGTGCTCTCCATCAGGGCGGCTGTCACCGTGGGCGGAGGGGTCTTAATGATGGGGATACTCCTGGTACGGTACTAAACAGACCAGATACATTCAGTACACCACTGGGTGGACAAAACATTAAGAACACCCGCTCTTTCCAATGACATAGACTGACCAGGTGAATCCAGGTGAAAGCTACGATCCCTTATTGATGTCACTTGTTAAATCCACTTCAAATCAGTGTAGATGAAGGTGAGGAGACGGGTTAAAGAAGGATTTTATAAGCCTTGAGACAACTGAGACATGGGATCGTTGTACGTGTGCCATTCAGAGGGTGGATGGGCAAGACAAAAGATTGAAGAGCCTTTGAACGGGGTATGGTAGTAGGTGCCAGGAGCACCAGTTTGTGTCAAGAACTGCAACGCTGCACGACATGGAAAGAGCAGGTGTTCATAATGTTTTGTACACTCAGTGTGTGTGCTGCATGTACATTAATATCACACTGAAGTATCTAACATGTTACGTATAGGTACACAAGCTACACATGGGGATGGTACAGGTGTGAAACAGAGAGTCGGAATTTGTTAAAGATACTGTATTTAATTAATTCCTGTCACTAACTGCCACCCAAACGTCTGGTGAATTGGTTTGTCAAACGGACACAGACTTCCATTAAAAAAGATCTTATTATCTCGTTCATCTCCTACTGTTATCAACATGAAGTGATAGAACTTAATATATTATTGATATAATAAGTGAGCTTCGCCACTCCTCCTAAAACTCTTCAGAAACGGATACATTTCCACTATATATAGGATAATGTCATGCTGCTTACCTGTTACCGGATACATTTCCACTATATATAGGATAATGTCATGCTGCTTACCTGTTACCTGATACATTTCCACTATATATAGGATAATGTCATCCCGCTTACCTGTTGGAAAGTTGCCTGGACCAAGTTGGCCGGGAACATGTTGCTGAAAGGGAAGAATACAGGAAAGTGTTCAACTCTAGAGCCGGCAGACTGGTTTCAGAAATAAACTAGAAAAGCCTGGTTCACAATTTTGTGCTCACGAGTCAAAACGGGTCCCCAAATTGTATTTTATTTATATATTTTTTTCAGATTCGTATGATATGTTTTTACGAATTCCAATTCGTTCAATATGTTACAAATTTGTAAGTGCTTAAGATCCCGAACTGCATCTTTAAGTTAAAATCTGTTATGTGACTAGTGACTAGACTTGTCTTATAATAGGCATGGAAGCACATAATGTTCCATGTGAGGGGTCGGAGAACTTGACCGCATCCAAAAACTTGACTTATCATCTTTTTACGCTACTTGTCTCCTTTGGATCCTTTTGTGAATATTCAGAAACTACTTCCTGTGTAAAACCAGTAGTACTATGTTTACTAAAATAAGACAGTCACAGCAGGCCTTAAAACATGCATGGATTAGACCAGGGTTCTTCAATTCCGGTCCTGGAGGGCCGAAACACCTCTGTTTTTCATCCTCTCCTTCTAATCAGGGGCTAATTCAGACCTGGGACACCAGGTGAGTGCAATTAACTACCAGGTAGAAATAAAAAACAGAAGTGTTTCGGCCCTCCAGGACCGGAATTGAAGAACCCTGGATTAGATATTTAACTACTGCTTATGGATTAGACCAATGATATTTAACTACTGCTTTTTAAATGTTCTACTTAGTAGTTCATTGGTCAATTAATATCACTGATTGGTCAGGGAGTTGATTGAATAGCCCTGGATGAAATCATACAAACAGCTCTAATTCTTATCATAATGTCTTTTGGATTTGGAAGACGTCAGTCTTCTCCCCAATGACTATCAAGCTCCGGTGCTGATTTGAACAAATTGCATGATTGCATGTAAGAAAAATCAATCTCACTGACTGAGTACATAGCATCTAACACAGCTATCATACTAGACAATGCCTCTCTAATTACACCTCAGGCAATGGACAGGGTCTCATACAGGTTCTGTGCAGCCAGCCATCAAAATACGCACTTTATCTAATCAGAGCCAATATTGTGCTCTCTAGCCATGCTCTCATTGGTTAAGCCTTCTCTAGCCACCCTAGGCCCTCATTGACCAGGACTCTCTGACATATGGTACTCAGCCTCTCAGGAAGATGAGAGTAGGGGAGAAGAGTAAGGTAGGGAGGGAGAGCCGGATGAACATGCGAGCGGCCAGGCGGCCACGCAAAGTCACTCCTTCCTGGGCGACAGGTGGGGAAGAACAGCTAGCCAACCGAATCGGCCCAGCTGCCCCACGCCACGAGTCTTAACTGCTAGTTCTAATAGGAGTCTTAGTTGCTGTTATAAAAGGGTATTATCTGTTAGTTCTAATAGGAGTCTTAGTTGCTGTTATAAAAGGGTATTATCTGTTAGTTCTAATAGGATTCTTAGTTGCTGTTATAAAAGGGTCTTATCTGCTAGTTCTAATACGGAGTCTTAGTTGCTGTTATAAAAGGGTATTATCTGCTAGTTCTAATACGGAGTCTTAGTTGCTGTTATAAAAGGGTCTTATCTGCTAGTTCTAATACGGAGTCTTAGTTGCTGTTATAAAAGGGTCTTATCTGCTAGTTCTAATACGGAGTCTTAGTTGCTGTTATAAAAGGGTCTTATCTGCTAGTTCTAATACGGAGTCTTAGTTGCTGTTATAAAAGGGTCTTATCTGCTAGTTCTAATACGGAGTCTTAGTTGCTGTTATAAAAGGGTCTTATCTGATAGTTCTAACAGGTTATAATACGGTCTTTGACATGGACATCTTAGAACTTAACTCTCTTCCCAGCTCTATATGGGAAGAGGGAGGACGTTTATCATATGCATGACATCTGTATGTGGCTATTTGTATGTGCACTGAACAAAAATATAAACACAACATGCAACAATTTCAAAGATTTTACTGAGTTACAGTTCATATAAGGAAATCAATCAATTCAAATAAATTCATTAGGCCCTAATCTATGGATTTCACGGCTGGGAATACAGATATATATATTTTTAAAGGTAGCGACGTGGATCAGAAAACCAGTCAGTATCTGGTGTGACCACCATTTGCCTCACACATCTCCTTCGCATAAACAACATGCTACCTACACAACATTTATAAAATACACTGTATAAATAAAATGTGATTGATTTGTTGATTGATAGTTTGAAAAAAAAATTATTGATTAAAACTACAATATTAATAAAAACTCTATATTATAGAGTATTCAAGTATTGCAGAAGTCATCCAGTTGGTCCATCCATGAGAGACAGAGAGAAAAGCAGGCTAATCAAGCCCTGTGTGGATCAGAACTAAACTCTGTGGGATCAGAACTAAACCCTGTGGGATCAGAACTAAACCCTGTGGGATCAGAACTAAACTCTGTGGGATCAGAACTAAACCCTGTGGGATCAGAACTAAACTCTGTGGGATCAGAACTAAACCCTGTGGGATCAGAACTAAACCCTGTAGGATCAGAACTAAACCCTGTGTGGATCAGAACTAACCCCTGTGGGATCAGAACTAAACCCTGTGTGGATCAGAACTAACCCCTGTGTGGATCAGAACTAAACTCTGTGGGATCAGAACTAAACCCTGTGGGATCAAAACTAAACCCTGTAGGATCAGAACTAAACCCTGTGTGGATCAGAACTAAACTCTGTGGGATCAGAACTAAACCCTGTGGGATCAGAACTAAACCCTGTGGGATCAGAACTAAACCCTGTGGGATCAGAACTAAACCCTGTGTGGATCAGGACTAAACCCTGTGGGATTAGAACTAAACCCTGTGGGATCAGAACTAAACCCTGTGGGATCAGAACTAACCCCTGTGGGATCAAAACTAAACCCTGTAGGATCAGAACTAAACCCTGTGTGGATCAGAACTAAACTCTGTGGGATCAGAACTAAACCCTGTGGGATCAGAACTAAACCCTGTGGGATCAGAACTAAACCCTGTGGGATCATAACTAAACCCTGTGTGGATCATAACTAAACCCTGTGGGATCAGAACTAACCCCTGTGGGATCAGAACTAAACCCTGTGTGGATCAGAACTAAACCCTGTGTGGATCAGGACTAAACCCTGTGGGATCAGAACTAAACCCTGTGATATTGGAACTAAATCCTGTGGGATCAGAACTAAACCCTGACCTCAATGCCACTAATTAAACCTAAGCACATCACAAATCTTCATACACACCACATTAAACACACATGCACAGGCATACACATTCATATACTGTACAAACGCACAAACACATTAACATAAGCACAGACAAACAGACACACGCGCGCGCACGCATACACGCACACAGATCACACACACAGAGACACGCACACACACACACACACAGAAACAGTGCACACACACACACACACACACAGAAACAGTGCACACACACACACACACACACAGAAACAGTGCACACACACACACACACACACACACACACACACACACACACAGAAACAGTGCACACACACACACACACACAAACAGTACGCACACGGCCCACGGACATAAGCGCACACATGACTAATAAAAACCCTTGAACCTTCAATGTAGGCTGATTTTAAAACAATTAAATTACATTGGACACAACAACAAAGGTCAAAGGTCAATTTAATGATCTTCATCCTGTCTCTTACCGAATCAGATCGAGCAGGGCATCAGCGGAGCTCATGATTGGCTTGCCGCTGTCCTCGTTGTCCTCCTTCTGGGCGGCGCCCCCGGGGTGGATGATGGTAACCATGAGGATGCCCACCACCACCGCCACGAAGGTGGTCCACAGGTAGTAGGAGACGGTCATGATGCCCAGGCGGCTGGAACACTTGGCATCCAGAGCTGCCAGCCCCGACATCAAACTAGAGAGAAGAGCAGAATGGTTAAGAGGAAGGAGACAAACTGATCATCCCAGAGAGAATAACAAAAACAAACAGAATCGTCATAATCAAACTGTAGACAGTGAGCGGATGAGAGAGAGAGAGAGGGGTCAAAACAGAATGGGTCAGGAAAGAGAGAACTCAGTGGCAAAGGTTGTTGAAATGGTTAGCAACCTGCTGTTCTCTTCTGTATAGTGTGTTGGGACATTCATGTTAAATGCACTTTTTAAATAGTGTTTAATTTGAGAGCTTCTTTGAGAGCTTCAGCCACGGTGATTTTAGAATAGGTTTGGTTTCAACTAAGAGCATACATTTCTGCCCACTAACTTTCCCGGAAAATGCCATTGGCACAGACATCAAATATACACAGAAAAATATAAAAATAGATCTATGACATGAAATGTAAGAGAGAGAAATAAGTCAAGAAACCCACCACTCAAAGCAAAGCGTAAAACCCTTGAGGACATAATGTCCAACATTAGAGCAACTTTACAACTTCCATCCCACTAATGAACTCAACTGGGTAATAACTATTAATGTAATATAGAATCACTGAGATTATGTACTTGCTCTCCTGTCCTACTATTTCAAGTCTTTCAAATATTTAGAGCGTTTGCTCTAGCCTGTCTGGAGTGTCAGATCGTCTGGGTGTGCAGTTCTGAGACTATTCTATTGGTCCAGTAGGAAAGACAAGCTCAATCAATCACAGATAAAGTATTTGAAATGATTTCAATCCAGGTCTGCTGCTCTCAGTGATATATAGTGTGGTAGATAGTGTGGTAGATAGTGTGGTAGATAGTGTGATAGATAGTGTGGTAGATAGGGTGGTAGATAGTGTGATAGAGAGTGTGATAGTGTGATAGTGGGATATATAGTGTGATAGTGTGGTAGATAGTGTGATAGATAGTGTGATAGTGTGGTAGATAGTGTGATAGATAGTGTGATAGATAGTGTGGATAGTAGTGTGATAGATGAGTGTGATAGTGTGGTAGATAGTGTGGTAGATAGTGTGATAGATAGTGTGGTAGATAGTGTGGTAGATAGTGTGGTAGATAGTGTGATAGATAGTGTGGTAGATTGTGTGATAGATAGTGTGGTAGATAGTGTGATAGATAGTGTTATAGATAGTGTGGTAGATAGTGTGGTAGATAGTGTGATAGTGTGGTAGATAGTGTGATAGATAGTGTGATAGATAGTGTGGTTCGATAGGTGATAGTTGGTGTAGTGTGGTAGATAGTGTTAGATAGTATATTTTGTTGTAGTTGTTTGATAGTTTGTGCTTAGTGTGTAGATACGTTTGGTGATATGTGTTGTGTGTGATAGATTAGGTTGCTAGTGTTGTAGCTTTGTGTGTTGTCTCTAGTTGTTGTATATAGTGTGGTATATAGTGTGTAGATAGTTGTTGTGAATTTGTGTGTTGATAGTGGTAGTCTTGTAGATAGTTGTGGTAGATAGTGTGGTAGTAGTGTGATAGATTAGTGTGGTAGTAGTGTGATATATATGTGTGTAGAGTAGTGTGTGGTAGATAGTTGTGTAGATAGTGTTATAGATAGGTGGTAGATAGTGTGGTAGATAGTGTGATAGTGTGGTAGATAGTGTGGTAGATAGTGTGATAGATAGTGTGATAGTGTGATAGATAGTGTGATAGTGTGGTAGATAGTGTGATAGATAGTGTGGTAGATAGTGTGATATAGTGGTATGATGTTTGATAGATGTTTGATCGTTAGTGTGATAGATAGTGTTGGTGTAGTTTGTTGTAGTAGATGTTGTGGTAGATAGTTTGGTATGTAGTGTGATGTGTTATGTTGTGTGCTAGTGTGGTCGATATGTGGTTGATAGTTGGGTGTGTTAGTGTTGTGATAGATATAGTGTTATAGTGTGGTAGATAGTGTGATAGATAGTGTTATAGATAGTGTGGTTGATAGTGTGGTAGATAGTGTTATAGATAGTGTGGTAGATGTTAGTGTGGTATATAGTGTGGTAGATAGTGTGATAGTGTGGCAGATAGTTGTTGGTAGAAGTGTTTTGATAGTTGTTGGTAGATAGTGTGGTAGTAGTTTTATAGCTCTAGTGTTGTAGTTTTATAGCTAGTGTGGTGATGTGTTGTAGTAGTTTGTAGATGTGTGGTAGATAGTGTGGTAGATAGTGTTATAGATAGTGTTGGTAGTGTGTGGGTATAAGGTGGTAAGATAGTGTGGTAGGATAGTATGATAGATGTGTGATAGTTGGTAGATGTGTTATAGATAGGTGGGTAATAGTCGTGATGATAGTTGGTATGCTAGTGTGTAGATAGTGTGATAGCATAGTACTGTGTTGGTTTGTTGGAAAAAGCACCATGGTATAAAGACTGGCAATAACGAGATTGAGGGGGGCTTACAGTTCTCTCCCAGTTGCTACGGCGGCTGGAGGACAGGATAGGGACGTAACCCTGATTAACCTTGGTTAATCCTGCTGTGTCCGGACTGTGACCCCAGCACCTGCAGGATACCACAAGGTGGTTCCCTCTTCTCACACCAACCAATCGTGAGCAAAGTCCCTCTTAGTCAGAGGTATTAGACATATATTAGAACCACTCTCATTTGCTGGTTGATAAATCATCATAAATCATCACCAGCGTTTCTCAGGGAGCTTCTGCCAACAATAAGTCAAACAGCAACAATCTTTACAAACATGATGTCAGAGGTCATAGAAATAAAATAGCAGATTCTTGATGTCAGTCTGTCAGTATCCTCAAGAAACCTGTTACTAAACCAGAGAGACAGAGAAAGAGAGAAGCCCTTTACATAAGGAAAGGCTACAGATGTTTCTGAGCCTGTGCGTGACTGTCTCCAGATATCCCCAAATGCAGACAGCGGGTGGACAGGTAGAGCAGAGCAGTGGTGAATGAAATGTAGCATCGATACATGCATCTGAAACACTAGCTACCCAACTCACCTCCCTCCGCTACATAATCACTCCTTACCCCCCACCTCCCTACATAACACAGCTCATCATACACTCATCCACGAATTCTTAGCAGAATAAACCCTATCGCTCCCACCCCCCCGTCCGCTCAATCGCTAGTCCCTCCCCACTCTCGCTCTCCCGTAATCTCCTCCTCATACTCTCTCCTCTCCTCTGCTTCCTCTCCCACTCCCTCTCTCTGCACTCTCTCTCCATAATCACCCTCCCTCCCCTCCCTCCCTCCTCCCTCTCTCTCCTCTCCTCTCCTCTCCTCTCCTCTCCTCTCCTCTCCTCTTTAGGTTTATCGCAATAAGATGGTCATTCAAATTCAGATTTCCTTTGAGTCATGTAGCCTTCCACAGTCTATCGCAGTAAGATGGTCATTCAGATTTCATTTGATTCATGTAGCCTTCCACAGTCTATTGCAGTAAGATAGTCATTCAGATTTCATTTGATTCATGTAGCCTTCCACAGTCTATTGCAGTAAGATAGTCATTCAGATGTTATTTGATTCATGTAGCCTTCCACAGTCTATTGCAGTAAGATGGTCATTCAGATTTAATTTGATTCATGTAGCCTTCTCCAGTCTATCGCAGTAAGACGGTCATTCAGATTCAGATTTCATTTGATTCATGTAGCCTTCCCCAGTCTTTCCAAATGTAATTTTTGTGTGTGAGGGGGGGGGGGGGTATATGTGTGTGTTTGTGTGCGTGTGCTTGTGCGTGCGTGCAAAGAAAGAGCAAAGAAATGTCAGATCTGACAGGCTACATAAAATGCCCAATGATGGGTAGGAATGAGGGGATGCAATTGGCATTGCAGACAGCTTGATTGCCAGTGGAACACTAGGGGGCTTATTTACTGTATAAATAACACACATTACTTTATAACAACACACGTTACTAGACCACAATGACCTAGAGAAGTCTCCGTGGGTGAGCGGTCAAATTCCGCCGGGACTACCTGCACTTTAGGACAGCGTGACTTACAGGAAGTTCCACTCAGGAGGGTCATGTTCAGGAGGCACAAAACAGATGCTAGCATATTGAAAATAAAGTTGTGGTGCTTGAACTTGTCCTGTTAGAACACTCAACATACACATTTCTTTGAGGAGACTATTATTTATTTACAATACATTATGAATGCATTCATTGTGCTTTATAACGCATTATAATACAGGCTTATGAGCATTCAGAAGTATTTATGGCTCCTTATAAAGTATTTTGCTTACATGATGGATTATTTATCACTGAGATATATTCTCTGTTATGTATAGTCTCTCGTGACACATTTTCTCCGGCACCACCCCAACATCAACATATGTGAAAATGGCGGATTTCTGTGTTTGGTGGTCAGAAAGATGCATACCAGATGATGTTATCGAAAACACATTTGACATCTTCTGGTGTGTATCGTGATTTTAACCAACTATGAACAGGAAAAGGCTGGTAAAGTACCAGATGATGTCAAAGTGTTTCCAGATGATGTCATCTTCCTCTTCTCTTTTTTACTACAAAACATAGAAAAACACAATTTTTCAAATACATTGATCTTGGGGTGGTGCTGGAGATGATGAATATGATGATGAATATTCTGGGTGCAGAGATGATGTACAATTCATATTTATGAGAACAGTTGTTGATGTTTTGTTCTCTTCTTTCCTCTGTGCCCGTTGAACAACCAACCCCCAGGAGTCATTAACATGTGAGCTCACGCTGCAGCTCCCATTAGCTCTAATAAGACAGACAAAAGCATTGGACCTCAGCCAGGCAGGCTCTCTGATTCATCCAGACTGCAGCCCAAATGGCACCCTATTCCCTGTATAGCGACCTATGGGCCCTGGTCAAAAGGTAGTGCACTATAAAAGGAATAGTGTGCGATTTGGAACGCAACCTTAGGTCTACACAAGAGAGCCGTTTGGTGATGACAGATATACACTCCTTCCACACGTGAACAATCTGTCCGTGTGGTCACAAATGAAAGCAAATGCATTAATTAGAAGTCAATACAGGATTCAGAGAAAAATAGAAAGATACACAGCAAAGTCAACGAGAAGAACCATGACCCATCAGACATCACCCAATTAACAGTAAAGTCTGCTACAGAAATCATCAGACAACATAATTAATGGGTGACAAATTAAAGAAAATACGTTCATTAGATGTTCATTAATTATTAAACTAAGGCAAAAATAGGAACTCCAATATAATACTCACACCTGGAGGCATCAGATATGCGTCAGACATCATCCCAATTAAGTCTGATCCAGAACTGATCAGAATTCTCATCGGTTGATTTCTCAAGGTCAAATACAACAGAGTTGGTGCCAAAGAGGCTCCAAGGTAAGCCTGGGACTGATATTTCAAGAGATTAATTCCTGGAGTGGAATTCTTCATCACTTTCAAAAGACATTTAGAATTAACTGCAATTGTTTTCTATGTTTAAAACACTTTGAGGTTATTTACCAGCAATTGTTTATATCAGGCTGGAATCTTGTGGTAATTGTGACTGACAACTATCACAAATATAGCCCGGTTTCAGATAGTTTTGTGCTCTCTTGCCATAGAAGTTTTCAAGACAGCATCAATAGATTTTGGACCAGGTTAACACATACATGCTGCTGGATGTGATTTTAGTAAAGCCCTGTTATCTTACTCACTACGTCTTTCTCCTGATGGAGGAGAAGAACAACAGAAAGATGTCCTTTATGTTTCCCCAGTCAGCTAGTTATTAGTCTGCCCTTTGACCTCTGACATAGGACTCCTGTTGGCCCACTGACACCCACAGATACATCACCTTTTGATTGCAAAAGCAGAAGATTTCTGTCATCTCTGTCAATCAGTATTGTATACAGTATAATATGTAAAAGCCCTGGCATCCATCATCAACATGCAGGCAATTAAAACAAAAACTCCTTCTTGATCCAACAGTATTGGAACGTTCGATTGAGCCATCCACAGGAGAGGACAAGCACAAAGGGAATAAATAGCCTTCTGTGGTAAGAGAGGGGTCAAAGACAAAACTCCCTCTCAAAAGGTCAAGACTGGAAAGCCTCTACGTTCTTGGAAAAAGATCAGTGGATAGCTAGGCAGAGGGGATTGATCGCATCGCCATGAAAATAATAATAAATAAATAATAAATAATAAGACTTGACTGACTGACAAACAGTGATCTTATAAATGAGAGCAAAGCAGAGCAGATGTGGTTTCTCCACCATATGTATATTTAATATACAGTACCAGTCTGTACTGTCTGTTGGACACAGCTACTCATTCCAGGGTTTTTCTTTATTTTTTACTATTTTCTACATTGTAGAATAATAGTGAAGACATCGAAATTATGAAATAACACATATGGAATCATGAAGTAACCAAAAAAGTGTTAAACAAACTAAAATATATTTGAGATTCTTCAAAGTAGCCACCCTTTGCCTTGATGACAGCTTTGCACACTCTTGGCATTCTCTCAACCTGCTTCATGAGGTAGTCACCTGGAATGCATTTCAATTAACAGGTGTGCCTTGTTAAAAGTTAATTTGTGGAATTTATTTAGTTTGTGCCAATCAGTTGTGTTGTGACAAGGTAGGGGGGTATACAGAAGATAGCCCTATTTGGTAAAAGACCAAATCCATATTATGGCAAGAACAGCTCAAATAAGCAATGAGAAACAACAGTCCATCATTACTTTAAGACATGAAGGTCAATCAATACGGAACATTTCAAGAACTTTTAAAGTTTCTTCAAGTGCAGTCGCAAAAACCATCAAGCGCTATGATGAAACTGGCTCTCATGAGGACCACCACAGGAAAGGAAGACCCAGAGTTACCTCTGCTGCAGAGGATAAGTTCATTAGAGTTAACTGTACCACAGAAATTGCAGCCCAAATAAATGTTTCACAGAGTTCAAGTAACAGACACATCTCAACATCAACTGTTCAGAGGAGACTATGTGAATCAGGCCTTCATGGTCGAATTGCTGCAAAGAAACCACTACTAAAGGACACCAATAATGAGAAGAGACTTGCTTGGGCCAAGAAACACAAGCAATGGACATTAGACTGGTGGAAATCTGTCCTTTGGTCTGATGAGTCCAAATTTTATATTTTTGGTTCCAACCACCGTGTCTTTGTGAGACGCAGTGTGGTTCCCACCATGAAGCATGGAGGAGGAGGTGTGATGGTGTGGGGGGTGCTTTGCTGGTGACACTGTCAGTGATTTATTTGGAAATCAAGGCACACTTAACCAGCATGGCTACCACAGCATTCCCATTTGGTTTGCATTTAGTGGGACTATCATGTGTTTTTGAAAAGGACAATGACCCAACACACCTCCAGGCTGTGTAAGGGCTATTTGACCGAAGAGGAGAGTGATGGAGTGCTGCATCAGATGACCTGGCCTCCACAATCCCCCGACCTCAACCCAATTGAGATGGTTTGGGATGAGTTGAACCGCAGAGTGAAGGAAAAGCAGCCAACAAGTGCTCAGCATATGTGGGAACTCCTTCAAGACTGTTGGAAAAGCATTCCTCATGAAGTTGGTTGAGAGAATGCCAAGAGTGTGCACAGCTGTCATCAAGGCAAAGGGTGGCTTCTTTGAAGAATTTCAAATATAAAATATATTTTGATTTGTTTAACACTTTTTGGTTACTACATGATTCCAGACATGATTTCACAGTTTTGATGTCTTCACTATTATTCTACATTGTACATAATAGTAAAAATAAAGAAAAACCATTGAATGAGTAGGTGTGTCCAAACCTTTGACTGGTACTGTAAATGGTTTAGACATGTCAGAACGTCAGTCTTCTTAGAAATTAGAACATAAATTTGTATTAGAAATTACAGCATGTCTTCTTCTATGAAATGAGAATAAACATACCAGTTTACCATCCCAGAATGAAGATTTTAGAATGTATGGTCAGAATGTCAGAATGTCGGAATGTTTGATGCAGCACCTCTGAAATAATGATTTATTCTTAAGGTGGAAGGAATGCCCCCTCTGGGGATCATTACTGTAATACTAATGACATACAACCCTCTGCATAGTAGTGTATCTCGTGACACATTTTCTCCGGCACACCCCAACATCAACAGATGTGAAAATGGGGCGATTTCTGTGTTTGTGTGGTGGTGGCATCGAGATGCAGACCAGATGAGGTTATCGAAAACACGTATTTGACATCGTCTGGTGGTGTATCGTGTTTTAACCAACTATGACAGAA